ACGGGCCAACACCATACTAGGGTACATTAAGGAGACCACACAGTTAAGGTTGATAACGATACAAAGTCGACCGTCCAGTCTCTTGTACCGTGATCTGTCGGAGCTACCTCCCTTGCACTATGGTGTTGTTACAGTTTGTATATGGGTACATTAAGGAGACCACACAGTTAAGGTTGATAACGATATAAAGTCGACCGTCCAGTCTCTTGTATCGTGATCTGTCGGAATGACCTCCCTGGCACCGTCAGGGGAAAACTCTCTTCCACTCGCAGACAGCGAGCTGTCAGTGCACATTCACCGGAATGTTTCGTGTACCTGGAGCTGTTGGAGTTATACCTCTTGCACCGTTCATGGACTGCAAAACTTTATACTAGTGTACTCAGAACCTAATCGTCTATATTAATATAACATGAATGTGTGAGGGCGTTTGTGAGGGTGTCTCTGTGCCTCCGTGTTTTGTGCCCGTGTGTATTGGCTCTTTGTTCATGCAGGATTGTAAATGTTCCCTGTCTGTCTCTCTATATATGGTTGGGGTATATATGACACATATGAAAATGAAATACGTAGCAACAACCACACAGTATAACAGACAGACAACCGTTACAAAACAGTATTCCTGCTTGAACAATACGCTTATCTCTTAACCGGTCCAACTTATATCTAATATAGCCTGACGAGGAAGCACAAGGATCGAAAGGAATTTCAAGGTATAACAATAATGTACATGTGTTCAATGTTCCTACATAGCACATTCTTCATAATCCTTGTAAGTATTCAGCGTCAGGATGAAGTGTGCAAGATGGCCCACAAACACAAACAAAACAAATCCAATCTAAAATACATCTCTTAATAATTAATTGTTTTTATCAAATCCCTTTTTTATTATGTTTTCGGTTACCAAATTCATGGAAGAACGGGGTGGTACACACGTGCATACACACGTGCATACAAATAGAAACACACAGTGCTGTACACGTGACTGCACGTGGTGACCTTTCTACTTCCTCGTTGCTGTTCGATGCATGTATAGCCTAGTGGTTAAAGCGTTGGCTCGTCACGCCGAAGACCCAGATTCGAATCCTCACATGAGCACAATGTGTGAAGCCCATTTCTGGTGTCCCCCGCCGTGATGTTGCTGGAATATTGCTGAAAGCGGCGTAAAACCAAACTCAGTCAGTCAGTCAGTCGATGCCTGTATAGTTCAAGCAGGATTGCATCTAACATGGCTACACAACACAGGCACTTAGTATAAATTTATTTTCGGTGAGTTGACGGTGATCTCATGTTGAATTCTAAAGGAATGTCTCTGATAATAGGTCAACAAACTGACGCCGTTTTTAGCAATATTCCAGTAACATCACGGCGGGGGACACCAGAAATGGGCTTTACACATTGTGCCCATAAATTCGAACCCGGGTCTTCGGCATGGCGAGCCAACGCTTTAACCATTAGGCTACCCCACCACCCCCATAGGTCAACAAAGATGAAGGAAATATTATTGGAAAGTTTTTAGATGAGAGCAAATAGTATTTTCTTTAGTGTTCACTGCGGGCAGGAGGCATCGTTTTAACATAGATAAACCTGTCCTGAAACAGCGCTCACAACCGGAAATATTCCACGATCAGTGTAACAACACTCTCATCAATATAGCGAGCCGTGCGCAAAAGCTACCGAGTCGGGTGTTTCCACCTGTGTATTCTTGGTTACGACCCCGCATTTACACCTGTCCGAAACTCTTTTAGACCGTATGTATCCGGGTTAGAACTGGTCTTCTGCGACTAACTGGATCGGGTTGTTGCTGACTTGGTTGACACATTTACCGCAACTGCGTAGATCAATGCTCATGATGTTGATCACTGGATTGTCTGGTCTGGAAGGAGTTTGAACCAGTATTTTAAACATCTAATTTGGGAATTAATATATAATGGGTATCTACCACATTCACCATATACCATGCAATTTGGTGTAGAGGATCAAACACAAAGAAATTTTTTACATGCTAATAAGTGGACCTTCACCAAACATTCATACCGCTGAAATCCCCATACTTTTAAAGCCAGCTTTTCAGCAATGTTTAGACTGGATCAAGTGTGACAAAAACGAAGGGAACATCTACATACAGTATCAGGCGGGTTTTTCTGTGTAAATTATTCAACACAAGGGACATGGTGATCAGTCAGTATTGCCACAATAGGCAACTGTTTGAACCTGTAATCTGTTCAAGCATTTCATCATACAGACGTAATGCTACAGATCAGCATATCTCCATACGTCGATCAGCTACATGCCGAGGATGAAGATAAATGACGACAGTGATTTGGTTTAAACATATTTATTTCTGATACATTGTTCTGAAGTTGGATCGGCAAACAAGCAAAACGCTTATATTAACATCCAGACAAAACAACATTTATGCGACTTACATTTCATAACAATATTACAAAAATACATGGTGTCATAAATAACAATAAGCATACAAAATACATGAATATGAACATCCACACAGCCACAAATACCTTTAGTTCTGCAAAGGGACAGATGAAAACTTAAGACAGATTAAATCTTTTTGAACTGGTAATAAAGGTATGTCCAGATTTGATAATATCATGATTTATAGATCTAGGTAAATCTAAGTTACCATACAGAGCGTCATTTATGTTATATTCATGTTTGAAATAAAATCAATCGTTTCTTATGGCATCATAATTTGGACATATATAAATATAATGAAGGGTGTCCTCGAAGGCGGCACCACAAATACATGATGGGTTATCGGATATAAATCTACTGACTTTATGGGCATTTAAATCGCTGCATTCTGATCCGAGTCTACAGTGGATTATTTGACAGAACCTGTTTCCAATGTTGATAACAAATCCGAATGAAGTATTACAATATAGTGTAATCTTGTTTTTAAGTCCACTTGGTGACTGAGTTCTTCAGGTAAAGAAAGTGATTTGTGTTTCTCAAACTGAAGAAATTCTCATAATCGTAATCAGCTTTTTAAAATAGCTTTATTCGAAGTTGATATTGTTAGACGAAGGTATTTGTAAGTTTTGACTTCAAGCTAATAATTTCTTACACGTTGTAAACGCTGGCACATAGAACGAAAATTAACAGTTTATATCTATACCTCCATAGACGCAAAACGTATTAAGCATATTTAAGTCATTTATGCATATAAATATCCACAAACTGTCATCAGTTGCCCTCCTGAAGTTTTGAAATGACCCGGGCGAAAAACAAGAGCATACAGTGTCATGTTTGTGACAGCTTTAAAAAATGAAAGATCATTCATTGTGCTTTGATGTCTTAATCCACAATCTCCCATGATTTGTTTCTCAGTTCAGGACTGTTGAGTGTGTTTCGACTCACACGTTCCGGTGATCATTGTTGGCAGTTGTTACCGAGAGAACGAAGTCGACAAATTGCGACGTAAGTGACAAGTAGCAAGTTGCTCGACATGCAACAACAGAACAGCCTACAGCCGACATGAATTATGGTGGACTGGCATGTCACTGTAGATAGTAAAGAAAGAAAATATCTGGTCTTATTCCCCCCAAGCCCATGTTCGGAGTCATGATGCATGCTTTGCGTCAAAGCGTCAAAAGCGGGGACCTCGCACACCATAAGCTGTGTTTTGGAGCTGTAGCCTGTTTTCTATTCCCACTCTTCAAACTGAACCAAAACTAGATTTATTTAATCAAGTAGAGCTGTTCGAGGCTTTTCAGATCTGGAACGCGGAAGTAGTTAAATTACTCACTGTGTCTTCACGTCATAGCAGAATGATTGATGTGTAGATGGAATAAGAGTAATGCTTTCACTAAAAAACGCTGTAATATAAATATGAATGACTTTTCTGTCATAAGGTGGACGGTAGTTAGTATGGCCCTAACATAAACATGAAATAATATTTCTCAGAACAGTCCGCTTTGGCAAATGTCCCTTTGAGTAAAATCTGCATATGGTTAGAGCCTAGACGAACGTTCCCTGGACTAGTGTCGCGATTTCACAAGGATACCCAGCACAGACATGGCATTATAACTCGGATCCAACCAGTCCTTGTTTCAGTCCCTTAATGCCGTTTGCCTTAGTAGGTAGCAACACATAACAGCTTTTTAACGGTTCTTTGACATGACATAACTGCTGATATTCCGGTTTTTGTATACTGGTTTCATATATCTGTACATGTTTTAAAGTAATCCAAATGATTCCTAACACAAGGGTAATGCGTCTTTTTAATACATTTGACACTAGGAATACATGTATACACATTAAAAACACCTGTGGACACATAAACAAATATTGCTAATGACAAAAAATATGGAGATCCCAATGTGGAACTAATTAAGTATGTAAAATGCAAACAGGTGTAAAATTAAAATGGTTAACTTTTAATAAGCTAAATACATAATACACAATATTAGAAAAACTGCACACAACAGAATTCAGAAATGATTAAACAACAGAAGAGCCATGCATTAAGCCTGCATGTTAAAGTTATTGTGATTGTTTTGATATGCATGTGTTGTCAGCATGTCGAATAACGTGACAGAGAAAATAATTCGAGTTGATATGTTCACATTACAGGGGTAGTACACAAAATGTCAGTAGTTACAAAGTCAAGAAATGACAGGTCAGTGAAATAGAGTACAAACAAATATGTCAAAGGGTAGTTACAAAGTACAAACACATATGTCAAAGGGTAGTTACAAAGTACAATGAAATATGTCAAAGGGTAGTTACAAAGTACAATGAAATATGTCAAAGGGTAGTTACAAAGTACAAACAAATATGTCAAAGGGTAGTTACAAAGTACAAACAGAAACGTCAAAGGACGGATTCAAAGACATACTGTGCCACAGGGTTTCGGTATGATTCGGTGTATCGATGGTGTCTATTCAGCTCCAGTGAATCTTTCAAGGGGTGTGCCACAGGGTTTCGGTCGGATTGTGTCACTTGCCCGTAAGCACGATCATATCACCCCGATCTTGAGGCCTCTACACCGGCTCCATGTGCATCACAGGAAGGTACCAAACAAAGGGCACCGAGAACAATGCGGTGCCTGGCGACAGTATACTTGGGATGAAAGCAAGACATTTCAATGGCGAGATCGACATATTTAGCATGCTTTTCCTGAATCTTGCCAATAATGTTGCTGTCGAATGGGACAGAAATTTCAATAACATAAATTAAATAATTAATGTATCCAAGTTAAATCTGAACATAATGTAGCTCTCAACGTGACGATTGATGGGGTATTATCATGTCAAAGCAGCTTAAGTCTAACTGCTTCTCAACCCTTCACATTTAAAACCGCTAATCTAATACTGTCTACTTGTCAAAGTGGATACAAAACTTAATAACATACACGTTCACACATAGTTTACTATGTGTAACAAACAGGAGAATTACGAAATGAGCTGCCCCATGGCACACAAAACATAGGCTCGAAAATAGACATACACATAAGAGCAACTGCTGATAGTACAAGATGAATTGATGAGATGAAGCAACGAACCAATGATTTATAAGCTCACCTGTAGCTGGGACCTCCTCGTTTGTACCTGAAAACAAAGAGTACAAGGCGGAGTGTAGATGTGGTGCAATTGCTACTGAACGAAAGTGCGAGTTTTACGCCCAGTTGAAAATGTTTCGGAGGATAACCAAAACGTACTATTCTCACCGTTCATGTCTTATATTTCTTTTCAAATGGGCTGATATTTCTGCTGGCGGAATCAATTGCATGATTTAGTTCCATCTAGAAACTATGTTGAGTCAACACCAAAGGTCAATCATAATTAAAACTACACCCCATTGAAGAGTGGGCTCGACACCTTCGTTTCGACTTCAAATCTACAAAGAACTGGTTCTAAAAATAGTTTTTTGGTTTAAGTACAAAGTAATACGGCAATACAGTGTAGAGTGGCAATGCAACAACACTAGAAGTTTTCAAACTATTAAAACAGTGGTGACAAATTCAGTGATAATGATATTCACCTGGCACCATCAAATGCCAAGCTTCCAAATGGCCTATGATGGTTACTAAGGGTGAAATGATTATCTTCAGTCAACGTTGGTTGTGGCGCAATGAGAGATGACAGAAGCACGTGGTCGTCTTGAAACCTTTCAAATTGCTCTATGTTATGCCAGGTTAATCTTTGCTGTAGCTACAAAAGCAACTATATAGCAACTTGCTCATCACTACTTACACAACACAGCACTACATTCATCACAACAGGTTGTCGTGAACTTCTTCTGAATGCAATCTGAAACAATGTAACACAATTATACCTGGTTTGATTTAACGAGTTACGCTGCAATATGACAATATAATGGTGACATACAAAATAACGGATGGAAAATGATCCACTGGTGACATGCAGCTACCATTCAGTGATTGATAATGATACCTGATTACCTGATTTTGTTGTATTTGAAAACAATGTGTACCAGTGTAAATGATATGGAGCTTAGGCTACTATTATCATGGGGACAATGCACAACTATTGTTCACGTCATATGTTTTTTGAAATTGTAAATATTACAGATTAACCACACATATCAGTATAACACGTCACAACATACTATACACATTCCTTATTTATTAAAGAGAGAAAATGCACCACAATGCATCCCTTGCCATAGAACCATTAACATCAAGCACAGTTTGCTTGAATGTGTTGACTTTCACACAATACAACCTTCTTATGACTATCTTATGTGAACTTTTCAGAAATCTTTCTGACGTCTTGCTTTTAGCGTGTTGAACAACAAGCAAACTATAGGGCAAAATACAGGTTTTTATCTCATATTGTTTACCCTTAAATGTGATATTTGACTGACATTAGTGATTTACGATATTGCTTTTATTGTGTATACATGTAGTTTACTGTGAATGATCTGTTTTGATCTTGATTTCCCATTACGTCATAGAACACTTTATATTCATCACATCAGTTGAAAACTGCTCATAAATATGGATGCAGTGTATGCTGTCAAAGTGGATGAAATAGTTAGATAGGGCATGATTAGAATACTTTTTGGATTGTGTCACCAGTGACAGTATCGCATTCTAGGTGTACTATGAAACCCGCCAACTCCGGTACCTGTCTAATCCGGCACGTTGTTTTCAATGTGCTGTAAATACACACTGAAACACAGATCTGTGCTGTAAATACAAATCCAACATCAGGCAATGGCAGACCTTTCTAACAGGTCGATACGTCTAGCAGCCGCTGATGGTAAAACATAAATTGATGAGATGAGGCAACAACTAAGTGATTTATTGTCTCACCTGTATCTGAGCCATTCCTATCTGAACTTTGTGGTGAATGTGGTGCTAACGCAACTGATCGAAAACGCGGTTTTACGCCCAATGAATTTGTTTAATTCTTAATTTATAGATTCGACGAAATCAGTAAATCCGCCATCGCTTCAACAAATACTCCTTATACCAAAAGACAGACAGACAGAATAATTTATTAAAGTCTCACCTGATGTAAACGTACAGATATACACACATAATATACATAAAATGAGCTACCATTTAAGGGTTATGAAAGACCATTACATAGATGTGACATATATGATAAAAGTAAGAATATAGAATTAGCCGTATAAAAGATGCTCTCTTTGTTGAAGCATATATAGCAGGTTTTGGCTGTAAAATAAACGTTCTTTCAAAAGTGATGTAATTTTACTTTTTCGTTATGACATAAATCTAAGAAGTTGGGATGGCTGAAACACATATGGCCATATAATATTTCATTTAAGTCATCGTACCGCGGACAATCCAACCGCACATGACGTTCATTCTCAGTGTTCATCATCATCATCATATATACATTTGTATAACGCCGATATCCAGCTCCGCTCAGCTGCTCAAAGGCGCTTTGTTTTTCCCTCGTTCACTGGATGTCAATCTCAACGGCACATCGTATTGTCAATCTCAACTCCCCGGGGATCATACAAACTCTTGCAGCCACTAGGCGCACCGAGTGTTATCTAACACAGGCAGTGTTATCTATCAATGCATTGGAAACACGCCTTTTTATTTCCTGTGAAATTTCAATATCTGCCTGTTTCCAACATTAGGGGCGCAGTACCGGATATAAACTTTGAAAGGGCAGATCCATAGGAGCATGGCATACTTACATAGCTTTCGCAGCCATACACACTTTTAAACATTCTATACGTCCATAACGTATTGCTACCCACTCTGCCTTCTTGTTGATACAACGCTTCATACCACTCAGACATATACTTTCCCATACAGGTAACCGGTACCCGCTCACATAAATACATTCTTCACATCACACCCTCTTCCGTATAACGTGATTGTCTGGTTTCATGCGCCGTCTTACGGCGGGTGTAGTGATGTACAGCGTCACACGCTGCTACCAGTAGGACAGGAAGACATGCTGACACTTTTTGCAAACAACGGGTGTCCTGTCTGATGTTGAGCGATCGATTCATATAATTATCGCCCGATCCTCAACATCGGATATCAGATGTTGACGTTTCATAGGTACAATATTTCTTTTGATGTATAAGGTGCACCATAAAACGTATTTTTCTAGTCACAAAATCAGACCTGCTAACTAGTACACGTTTTCATCAATTTCAACAGACATCTGAACCTTTCTTAACTAGGATAGGGGTGAAGTAAACTTTATTTATCAATCGAACATAAGTAGCACACAAAATTGTGTATAGTACGGTGAATACTCCCCCGCCTTTGCTCGTGTTTCTCAGAACCATCGTTCGTCCGATACGTTTCAGGTACAGTCCTACCTAGCCTGTAGCAAACAGGTTACCTTGCATGACCTTATCGGACACCTTGGACAGTAGGCGTATTCGCTGTGGGTGAATTCGTAGACCAGACTGGTTCGTAGACGTGCAAAGCGTTTTCACCAGTTGTGCTCCCTCCCTGCAGATCTGTTTCTTTGTGTATATATGAATCCGAATTTCTGCTTTGGTTGGCAAAATCAACACAAGTTAATTTGGCCAGGAAGTTTACCTTAAGCTTCAGGTAAATCGATGCTTTGATATCGTTCACTAACCATCAAAAAACCAAATTCCCTTCCACTGAATTACTACTCGTGAAGGCCCGGATTAGAATATTGATCTTCAGTAACCCATGCTTGTCGTAAGAGGCGACTAACGGGATCGGGTGGTCAGGTTCGCTGACTTGGTTGACACATCTCATCGGTTCCCAAATGCGTATATCGATGATCATGCTATTGATCACTGGATTGTCTGGTCCAGACTCGAATATTTACAGACCGCCGCCATACAGCTGGAATATAGCTAAGTGCGGCGTAAAACTAAACTCACTCACCCTCTCCACTGATTTACCCACCTGAACTTGAAATCAAGGCGACAACTGAGTCCGCCTCAACTGTTCATATATATATCTTTGCATAAGTTCAGGGTGACAAAAAACTCACACCTGCATATGTTTATAAAGTTAAGGTGATGTTTGTCACAACATATTATGTATATATACTTTTCAACACTTGGCAGTAGTCACTTTTAGCTTGTAAACAAACGAATCTACACCGAAACGTCTCTGTATGCAATAAACAAGAAGTTATTATCCCTAAAATCGTATGCTTTATCATTAATAAGAGGCTTTATTGTGTATTGTTAACTCCGACGAATAAGATCTCGTGGCTGGTTAGAGGTTTGTGAACAGGCGAAAAGTATAGTTTGCAGAAAACGCACTATGGTTTGTGTTCAGCTTCAAGGTTCAATCATATATTGTTGAAACAATCAGTTTCCATCTGAGAACCAAATGTACTTCACATCACACTATATGTTATATTTGAGGAGAAAATGAATTGACAATGCCACACTTACCATTTTTCTGTTGACTGTAAAAGAAATATAAAAACAAGGTGAATACTTGTATGAGAAATTATTACTTGTCATTGCACCATGCTGGCATTAGAAAGATACGAAATGTTTACAATCATTTGTAATACAATCACTTTTATACAAAATCATTGATTTCCCAGAAAATTCTTGAAACCAAATTATTTTATTGTCTACCAAAAAGTAAACATTATTACAAATGTGTTTTGCTCCATCTTATTTTACAGACGTAGCTGACGAAATGTCTTGTCTCTTTACCAAATCCTAGGCACTCCACCCTCCCAACACACAAGATTCGGTTGGAATGGAATACGTTTTTCCCACCAAAAAGCCTGCATAACAGCAAAATATATTTTTGCGTAGGGCTTATATGAACTGGCTAAACAAACATTCAGGAAGATGTTACTAGACGCATTCTCACCGTTTATATATTGCAAATAGTGGCAGGAATATTACCAGCAAACCAGTAATGTGAAAAAATGCTGCCCACAGTCCTGCTGAAGTCTCAGTTGCCTGTCTTGTGTGCCCTTCCTCTGTTTCTGTGTACAGAAAATGAATACAAGACTGATCACATTAACCAATTGTGGCGGTTATTCTTAAAACGATAAGTGTATGTGTTATATATATACATTGATGAGTCCCTATATTTCCTCCTTTAAACGGAACTGTACATCCCTGTTTGTTAACCGGGATACTGACAAGCCTTCCCTGCACGTCAATGTATATCGCCAAGGACCAGCATGTTGTGGGGGTACAGAAAAGCATCTAAAAACAGGACTACTCAATTAACAAAAAGTGATTTGGGTTTCAAATAGTTCTTTGCAGGGCATAACCGTGTCTTCACATTTTATACCTAGTAATGAAACAAATACTATTAGAATCATGTCCATATGATATTGAAGTGGGTGAGTGAGTTAAAACTTAACGTCACATCGGCAATATTGCAGCCATATCGTGACGAGAACAGTTTATAGCAATATTCAAATCAATAAATGTACAACATAAAAACCTGTCATCGAAAGACAGTAAAACTACTAGAATATCACAGCTCTTAATTTATAACTAGTACGCTATCATAAAAATATATCACGCGAGAGTGAGGTGAGGTGAAATTGGGTTTAACGTCGTGCTTGAGAATATTTCGCTCATATGACGACGTGCATGCGTGTGTACGTGTATGTGCGGCTGTTTGTACTAGCCCAGACTAAAGCTGATTTATAGTGCTAGCCCACTGAGATACCATGCCGCAGTGAAGCATGCATACCCCACTCAGACACATTATACTGACTCCGAGCCGACCAGTCCTTGTTGTACCCATTATTGCCGAGCGCCAGACAAGGACCAACAAGTACCATATTTTAACGTCTTTTGGTATGACGCGGTCGGGGATCGAACCCGCGACCTTCCGCTCTCCGGGCGGACGCTCTAACCACTACACCACGGAGGTGGTCTCACGAGAGAGTGTGTGAGTGAGATAATATTTAAAGTTACATCGGCAATGTTTCAGACATTTCGTGACTAAAACTAGTTCTAAATTCACAATACTTACATATAAATTATATATAGGGTTGTATATATTATATTATATAACCCTGTCAACGAAGGGCAGTAAAACCACTAGATTATCACAGATTGAGATAAAACTAGCTAGCATATATCTTTAAAAGTGGAAAATTATTTCTGGACAATACATATCACGAGAGACAATAGTACAATATAGGAACGGGCTATAGATCACCAGCAATTGGAGGTTGATCACCATACTAAGGACATATGATATTGAAAGGAAGTTTAGGAAGGAAAAGGCAGATTTGTATTACATCTGATAATCTGTATGGTCAACCATGCGGTTTGCTTGACAGAGGCGATATGTCACTTTTGAGAAGGGGGCACACATATTTCTCATGTTCAGCTACATTTACATATGTTGAATTCATACCTTCACAAAACGTTCCACTTTTGCCAGCTTTGCATCCAGATGTGCATGCTCCATCTTTGTGATTGCAGATGTTGTTCATACAGTTCTTGCTGCACTGTTTGTTGCACGTGTCATCATACCAGCCTGGAATACATCCTTCATGACAGCGTCCACTGGTCTTGTCACAGTAAACAACGTCTTCAGCAACATATACCCTGCAGTGTGCAGGACAGTTTGTGTCACATTCGTCTCCGTATGTTCCCGGTGGACAGTCTGCGCCACATCCATCAGTCAGAACTGCAACATGTTGTAAACAAAAATGTAGCCAGGAAACGTCATACACACGATCATTAAATTCCCTTATTTACCTTTCAAGAACTGATGTAGTTATAATTACATTTGAAAAGTACGTGGTATGTGTGACTGTTTAACAGAGATAATTTGAACTCACTCAGTACAGTCGATAGCAGGCATAGTATCAGCATTTCGAAGAGACGTACTGCTCTTTCATCTTCCATCTGCAATGAGATATTGCACGGATTACAAAGGACGACGTGACATTTTTTCGGGTTCGCAATAGGTTGTGTTGACACTATCGATTCGTCTATAATAGTTCCAAAGGTGTTTATATGTGCATCTTAGTGACGATGTATATTGATAATGTCGCATTCTTGCGTCGATCAATGGGATTTTCGATTAATCTACACATGCGCCGAAATGGTTATACACCATTCAAAGTGCAGTGTCCTCTGTAAGTTAAGAATAATTCCACAACTCAAAATAGCAAAGGCTGGTAGTTTAGGGAAAGAGTTTTCTAAATAATATTCTGAAAAAAGATATATAGGGTTCCATGCCTCATTTTCTTTTGTTCCAAGCAGAACGCAAGAACCACTGGTCAGACGCCTTTAAAAACACCATCAAGTAGGTGCCCCTGGCCTTGAAGGCAGTGTGTCAAGGAAAATATCAAGGCTCTTGGCTCAAGGACTACGATAATTGGCAACCGTGAAGAGCCACCTCCTCGTGGTGGGTGCTGGGTAACGCTAAGCGTCCTTCAACACCCCGTTGTGGACCCGGGGGTATATTTGGTCCACCAACCCGTTTGCCTTGGGTTGCGCCCCTGTGTCGGTGGAGGAAGGGAGTCTGGTGGTTGAGGGCATAGGAGCCACGAACAGCGTTCCTATTGCCCAACACACCACTTCGGACCTAACTTCACCTACACGGGTGGTAGAATGGGCCCGAATCCATCATTCGGCTGGTCATGTCGGCCCCTGTGCATTACTTGTACTTGCACAAATTAGTATTTGAAATATATGTCGGACTTTAGGTCTCGGCTCTATTAATTTATAAAACATCACTTGATTTCGAAACATGTCTTATTCAATTTGCCTAGAGTCTAAATGCTCAGAAGGCGATGGCTCATGGGCCAATCTGGTAGGATCTATCTTTTAAAGATATTATCCTGCTTGAATATACCCTTCTAGTATCCTTTATGCCGTCTGCTGGAGGCCCACATACATGAGGCATCGTCCTTGTTGACACTCCATGGTGGGTGGGGAGCTAGGAGGGTGAATAATGTATATATCTACCATGGCACCCCCACTTAAAAAACGATCACACGAATCTGAAGATTCGTTTTCTTCTGAGGATGAGGCTCCTGCAATCCTCACAAACCCGGATAACTGGCCTCGTTTCTTAGTTGTGTCAGCACCGGATGGTGGAGCTCTTAAGCTGAATCCTTTCACTGTAGCGAAAGGCAACGAGGGTTTGGCAGATGATGTCAAAGAAATATAAAAACTAAGATCTGGTTCACTGCTCATCGAGTGTCGGAAATTGATCCAATCTCAGATTCTGCAATCATCTAAATTTTTGGTGAATGTTCCTGTGGAGGTGTCCCCTCACAGGACATTGAATAACAGCAAAGGTATCGTCCGTGATGTTGGACGTTGCCTTGTAGACATGAATGAACATGAGAATTGCATGCTCAAGGCGTCACTGATGTCAAACGCTTCACTGCAAGAAAGAACAACGAGACCTTCAAAACAAACACATATTTGTTCACGTTTTGTCTGCCTAAACACCCGCAATCACTAAAAGCGGGATACTGCAATTTGAAGGTCGACACATTTATACCAAAAATCCCTTGAGGTGCTATACCTGTCAAAAATATGGTCACGGGTCAAAGTCTTGCCACAATCCGGCTGCATGTCGCAGATGTGCCGGAAAGTGTGAAGACGGTAATCTTTGTGACAAAACTCCTGCCTGTGTCAACTGTTCTGACAACCATCCATCTTCTTCCAAGGATTGTCCTACTTGGAAGCTTCAATCCAAAATTTCACAACTTAAGCATCAGCATAACATACCGTTTTCAGAGGCAAAGAAAATTGTTGTTTCACAAGAACAATCAGGTCCAACTTATTCAAACGCAGTTACTGCATCTCTTAAGGCATCCAAGCCAAAACATATTCCTTGTAATTCTGTAGGTTGCCAGACAGACTACACATGGGCAAGGACTTCTGCTCCAACCTCTGCTCAAACCATAGACTCATCTAAAAGTATACTTCAATCGACGACATCACCTGAGATAGATACATCTCAGAAACGTTCAACTAACCCCGAAACAACCATCAAACCAGCTGCAAAACACAAGTCAAAACAGAACAGTGAAACTTTCAAACAGAATCAAAGTGGAAGTACCCCAAAAAGGGGCGAATAACCAAATCCCAGTTTTTAATAAGTTTGGATCCCTTGATGACATGGATGTGTCCGATCAAAGCCAGGGTAGGACTCATAGCTTGTCGCCATCAAGGAAGGTGAGGGGTAGATCTCCTGTTTATCCTCCGAAAAAATAATGTCCTCGACTATAATACAATGGAATTGTAGAGGACTTCGGAATAATTTAAATGATTTACAAATATTAATCCAAGATCTGAAACGTCAGCTCTCTCCATACAAGAAACATATCTGAAACATACTGATAATTTTGACTTACGTCAGTTCAGTGTATGTCACTGTGTTTCTCCCTCGGGTGTCAGAGCTATAGGTGGATCATCAATCTTGGTGAGGCAAAATGTTATCCATAGCACAGTTACACTCACAACTATTCTCCAAGCCGTTGCAGTGCGACTAACGTTGCACGTTGCATTCACTGTGTTCTTACATACCGCCGTCATCAACTGTTCAACTAACCGATCTGCAAGCTCTTTATGATCCATTACCTAAACCTTGTATAATCATGGCTGATTTAAACGGCCACAACTGGGGTGGCACTAATACAAACACCAACTGTAAATTACTGGAGGATTTTATTTCAAACAATGTTTTATGCATTTATAATGACGGTTCAAATACGTATGTTCATCCTGGCACAGGAACATATACAGCTCTTGATTTGTCAGTTACTGACTCCAACCTATTGAGCGAATTTGAATGGTCAGCCCACGACGACCTCTGTGGAAGTGACCATTTCCCAACATTACTAAAACCTGTGAATCCATCTGATGTTCCTCAATCATCAAGATGGAATTTTTAAAAGGCTAACTGGCCTTTATATGAAACTCTCTCTCGTGACAAACTTAAACCTGAACTTTTTTAATGATATTCCTGATGCCATAAAATGTTTTTCAGTTAGATAATATAGCTGACGAGTGTATCCCAAAGTCCTCTGCAATTCCTCATGTACGAAAATGACCTATGAATGCAAACAAGCTAGGAAGGCACAAAGAACGCCGAGCACTATCGCCATCCTATGGTCCACAATTTTGACTAATTTAAAATTTTAAATGCCAAAGCACGACGTACTTTCAAGCAAAGTAAACGCCAATATTGGGCAAAACTATGTATCAAAAATAAATTCGCGCACACCAATATTAAAGGTGTGGAATATAATCCAGAGAAATCAAGGGTAAGGGCTCTAAATCTAGCATTAACCATCTAAAAGATGGGAATCAATTATTGACTAATAAATCAGATATTGCAAATAACTTGGTGAGACGTTGGCCAGATATTCTTCCCCGTCTAATTATGTACCTGAGTTCCAAAATTATCAAAAACAGCAAGAAAAGAAAGGTATTAATTTCAATTCAGATAATGGGGAAGATTACAACGCAACATTTTCGATACACGAGCTTCATACCGCACTTGACCAGGCTCACGATACTGCTTCAGGAGCTGATAACATACGTTATCAACTCCTGAAACACTTACCAGAATCATGTTTAGAGACGCTCTTACGTGTTTTTTGATGACATTTGGACATCTGGAAACTTTCCTTCGTCGTGGAGGGATGCTGTAATTGTTCCCATCCCAAAACCTGGACGTGATCATACGGATCCTTCCAATTATAGGCCAATTTTACTAACTAGCTGTGTTTGAAAGACCATGGAACGCATGATAAATAATCACCTCATTTGGTACTTGGAAACAAATAACCTAATTACAAATATACAATGCGATTTCTGTAAAAACAGAAGTACCATTGACCATTTAGTGCGTTTAGAATCTTTTGTTAAGAATGCCATAGTAAACAAACAAGATGCAGTGTCGATCTTTTTCGATCTAAAAAAAGCATACGACACAACATGACATGACTTTGGATTACGAGGCCGTCTGCCTCAATTTCAAGTCCGAGTGGGTTCAACCCTGTCCGACCATAATAATCAGGACCAGGGTGTCGCACCAGGTAGTATATTGTCACATTATTCAGTATCAAAATTAATAGTTTATCAAAAGTTTTAAATGATTCAGTTGATGGATCATTATTTGTGGATGATTTTAATTTTTCTTGTCGTGGCAAAAACATGCATACCATTGAAAGGCAACTATAAGTGTTGTTTTCAAAACGGCTTTAAAGTTTCTAAATCAAAAACTAATTGCATACATTTCTGCCTTAAATATAAACCAGATAAAGACCCCGAAATGGTTTAAATGGCACTCCCATCAAATTTGTAAAGGAGGGCAAGATCGTTGGCCTAATCTTCGACTCTCATTTAACTTTCCTTCCACATATCAAATCCCTTAAACCGAAATGCCCAAAGGCACTTGACGTGTTGAAAGTCGTTTCCAATTCTAAGTGGGGAGGGGATCAAGCTACCCTCCTACACCTATATCGATCACTGGTCCGATCGAAACTTGATTATGGCTCAATCGTTTATGGTGGAGCCTGCAAAAGCAACCTAAAACTACTTGTTTGGTCCACCACCAAGGCCTAAGACTTTGTCTTGGCTCTTTTCGAACCTCTCCTATTGATAGTCTCTATGTTGAAGCTGATGAGCCATCCCTTAACCAACGTCGTATTAAATTATCTTTACAGTATATAACAAAATTCTATTCTAACGAGTCTCATCCTGCATTTAACTGTGTTTTCAGTCCTCTTTATGAGGATTTATACAACAAAAAACCTTCTCTTGTTCCGCCTCTTGGGCACAGAATTAAACAACTCATTTCTGCTGCCGGCATTGAGCTCGAATATATAGCTCCTTCCCGTCTTCTTTCCTCGCCACCTTGGCAACTGGTGAGGCCT